GAATTGTTTAGTGTAAGTGACCCTGTCGAAGGGGAAATTGACTGGCTAGATACTTGGTCAGCACCTCCCTTGCATTGAGGCCACTGTTGCTGGTAGATGCATTAACTGGTTGAACGGGCTGATGAAAGATTTCATTACTTTCACTAAACTCTTCCAGCCAGTTAGTACTGATGCCATCTTTCTGCTTCTCAGAAAAATTGTGCAAAGCACAGCATGTGGCAATCATCGTAGGTGTGAATAAGAAGTGAAAGTCACTTCTATATAGCAGTACTAGCCACCTTGATTTTAACTTGCCAAAAGCCATTTCTACCCCTACCCTAAGTGAGCTAAGGTAAACATTGAACGACTCCTGCTCTGGTGTCAGGTTGGGGGAGTTTGTGTACCCTTTAATTAACCAGTCAAGTAAGTTGTAAGCAGGGTCACCAACAACCAGGAGTCGGACTTCTCCCTCAATGTTTTTCACACCCTATAAAGTAAGAAGATGGATATTATGTAGCATAACTATGAACAAGCTCTAAGAATGCTCTGTCTTACATAACACATTACCTTGGGCAGGAGGTGAGCCTTCTGAAAGAGCTCAGATTGACGAAGCACAGTGGCATCATGTGCGCTTCCAGGCATTTTGCAGCTGATGTTCCAGAAGCTAGAAAAGACAAAAAAACTGATTTTAGAGACAAAGATTAACTGATCTGCATTTTATGGTCATAACCATAAAAAATAGAATGATGTTTTTACAATATACATACACATAGTGTATCTAATAATGTTACTATATAATAATATTAAGTATTTAGCTTAATATAGACTCTGATTTAAGTTTTCTGTAACTGCAACAACTTTAAAATAAAAGTGTAAATAAATAAATGTTTATTTAAATGTAATTAAAATTATGCTGTGAAATTGACTTACCAGCCTTTGTCATCAACTACTCCTTGAAGCACGTCAGAGGGCCAGCCTTTTCTATTTACAAAATCTTTGTACCCATCTGTGCTGGAATGTGTGTTCCATCGATTAGGCCCATAATCTGAGGTATATGGGAAATGGCTTCAAATCTGCGAGCCAGCTCCAAAGCTTCTTCTTCATTTGGAACCTTTATAAGTTGTTTAATTGGCGACTGTACCATTCCTTTGCAGAACAGATACACAAATTTCTTGACGGTGCTTTTGTGGATGCCAAACTGGTTGGAGATAACGCGATACTCGGCGCAAGAGCCTAGCTTGTACAAGGTAACAGCAACACGCATTATTACTGGTATAGGGGTTCTTACGGTATGTTCTGCGGGGGTCATATAATCTGACATTAAGTCGCATAAAATCATAAATGACTGCCGTGTCATTCGAAAATTTTGCTTCCACTCAAAACCGGTGAATTCCTTCAGTACGACTCTCTCCCACCAGTCTTTACTGTGCACTTTCATCCAGAGGTTTCGTGTCATCGGTGGTGGGATTGGCATCCAGTTTATGTGTCTCAGAATGTTGCAGGACATGACGTCTTCCTCTCGCCCCTTCTTTGAAAAGAACATGTGAACTACGTTTTCCTGAGTCTGCCATAATTTTAAAGCAACTAAAAACACAAGCACACCAGCTGTGAACTCAGGAAACATTCCTCTGCTCGACTCACTCTGACTGGACTCACAAGGTGCTTGTTGTCATAGTAACGTTTACACTAAATTGTAGTCCACGCATGCGCGTAATTTTGGATCGGATTACATGTACTGTGCATGTAAACGGAGATTTTCATCATTCATTGTTGAGTATAATGTGCATATAAACATCTCAGCCTGAATCTCTAATCGGAATGTATTCAATCGGATTGGCGTGTTCAATCTTCGCATGTAAACATAGCCAATGTAACTTTTTGAGCTGAATAAAACTAAATCAATTGCTTGCTACCACATGAAGTATTTGTTTTAGGATGAACTGACGAACCATTTTTTACAGTGTATGAGTGACGCAATATGTTTATTTTAAATGGTAAGAAACAGAAATATAATCTGTCCTACAGATAGGAGAACTGTTGAGTACTAAGAAAAACAAACCAGCAATTTGGTTAAGCCTTAAGCAGCAAAATGAATAGAAAAAAAAGATAACATAAACATTAGTCTGATACAAGATTTTAAATCATTTAGCATCTAGTTACCAACTGTATTTTTTACATTTGCCTAATATTTAGCGAGTTGGATTTTTTACAGTGCATTTCTGGATTATTTGATTCAGGTGTTGAGGGCTGATGGCCCTGCAATGCTTAAAGATTTACCAGAAATCGTTATAGCTATGATGTACCGCTCTTCTTCCCTGTGATGTCTCCTTTATGTCCTCATACAAGAATATGTAATATGTTTCAAAATAATAACAAAAAAACCACATCGATTTCATTCATTTAACCAGTCATTTAGTGCTCTGCACTGTTAGCCAGCCATCAGTGATGGTATCAAGCAAAGGACAAAAGGAAAAACATTGGGAATATAAGCATTGCTGAAAAAGCATCACTAAAACGCCTTCTAGAGTGGCAAAAATGAGAGGCAGTGCCCTCTTGGGTGCCCCGTCATGCCAAAATTATGATCACATGCCCTCTAGAGCAAGAAAATTTAATAACATGTTTTTATGAGTGCGCTTTTAGTGGAGAAAATGTGATGCAGTGCTCTATACATTAGATTAACGTAATTTCTAATTATTTCAATTTAATGTTTTGAGTTAGTCAAACCTAAAGCCCCAATTTAATTACACATTTCATCAGGTAATTAAGAAACTTTCTGATTAAATGATACTGACCACTGAGCCAAACGTTGAAGGATAAACCCTTACTGTAAACGTGGTCACCCGCAAGCACAGACTCACACTCAGCAGCAAAGAGAATGATAACTCGCCCTTTTAGCCAACAACACAAGGTCAGATGCCTGAGCAAAGCATATAAGAAAAACAAACGCCTGAGGAAAAGGTGGCCTGGGTGGAATGAACACATGTTAATGGTGAGTAAAACAAACAGAAAGAAACACCCAGTATACACATAGATAGAGCCAAGACCCAATAGGAAAGAAACAAGCTTTACCAAACAAGATCATGTCAACTTTAAAGTCAAAGTATTGTCTGCAGGTTTATTGTTTTCTTACTTTTTAAGACACCATGTTCAGTATGCCACTTAGCACTGTATTATTTTGAATACTGAAGTGGAACACCGGACCACTCTTGTGAGTTTGCTACCTTTTCAGATTAAAAACCACAGAAGGGTAAAAACATGCCAAGCTTACACTGGTATGATGTAAGCTGCACAACTACAACTAATAAAATTGATAATGGGTGTGTGAGATTTACAGTATGTGGATGATCAAGCACTGACAGCAGTCAGTAGTATTGGTGGTGCTGAGGCAGTCAAATCAAATTCTGCTTAAGAAAAGGCTTGGGCCAGCTCTGCCTTTAATCTATAACTAGTTAAATAATATCTTATTGCTTGATCTGATGTAAACAGAGTCAGTGGGCATGCCATCTTGTCTTGCCGCACCATTTCTGGCCTCCAGCTGTGCTGCACTGCGCAGGCCGTGCCTCCAAGCCCCCTTACGACAGCCCCACCATAGGGTCTTCCCTCGCCAGCAGGCTCTTGCCGCTGACCGCCATCCTCCAGCCTTGTTGTATGTAGTATTATGTCTTGACTGTTGTTCTTCACTTGCTGTTCGGTCTTCTCTGCCATTATGCCACTGGGTTCACCATGAGGTACATACAATGAGGTATTATCACAGAAGAAGAAGGAAACACAGTGCTTTGAATGAGTGCTTTTTAATTAATGTCCAGTAGGGGAGACCTGCTGCCTGCACCAACCTTAACACAAAACACAGGCCAGCTTAACAGGGGAGCATGATACACATACAAACTTACAGTGCCTACCCTCCAGGAATACAATTACTCGGTCAACCACAGCTGCTTACTAATGTCTGTACAGTCGAAGTATTTGCAATTGAAAGTATCTGGCTTACAGTGACCACGATGCTCCTGTGAGGCCCGTGCCATGGCACTCTGCATGGCAACACCTGCTGCACATCCACAGCCAGTAGCAAATCGCTACAATATTATGATTTTGTGTGTGTGTACAACTGTTCAAAGCTGTGTTTGCTAGGCATGTCCTGGCTAGCATGTTTGCGTTTTCTTCAAAATCAGCTTCAATTGTCATTGCTGAAACAGGCACTATTTAAACATTTGCAAGAGTTTCGGTTATGCTGTTATGGTTGTTTTGGTCATGACAGATTTTTCAGTCAACTCTGTCCACACTGATGCATCAGTGCCTGTTTTTTATTTTTTTTTTCATTTTTGATAAGGTGTGTTGGTGCAAGGAGCTTATGCAGTACATGTAGCAAAAAAATAAATAATTAAACATCAAGCACAGCGAAAGGACCATTAACGCTAAGACTTGTCAGGCGTTTGTTACTTTCCATGTAGGTACCGCACACAACAGCCTCTTTGTACCAGTCCATCTAACAGGAAACCAGAGTTTTTCTGAGATTAGTTTAAGAGCTGTCTGTTACAGGAAACGTCTTCACAGACCAACAAAACCAGGAAAGGTAAGAAGACCTTTATAAGGCATTGCCGTACATTCAGAGGTTCATAATTCAGTATTCAGAACAAGCTTTCATGTTAAAAGTGTGATATTTTTTCAGTGTAAATGCTACTACTCACATCAGGTGGAGAGTTTTATTCTGATCTATTTATTTTATTCTGAATGATTCTGTTAGCAGTAAAACACAAGAGCACAATTAAAACCAGAAAAAGACTAAAATAACAGAGAAATGAGCGAAAGCAGAGTCTGTACAGTAGTAGTAGTTTTTTTCTCTCCAAAAAAACAAAAAACGTTTACTCAGTTTGAAACTTATTCAATGAATGGAATAAATGAAAGAACTGGGATTTGTAGTAATCTTAAATGAAGCTCTTCTCTTTACTACAAGTGATGTGAAGTCTTATTTTAGCTGCATACAGAGAAGTGTGTTGTGCACTGTTTAGACAGTATCTGGATGACTAAAGCATCGGTGATCTGCGTTTATGATACTTTATATTCTCTGAGATTTAACACAACACATTATAAATATATTTAGTTTCAGTTTGCTCAAGGGAGAGGTCACCTACAGATTTGGTTGTGTGAGATGATTCATCCAAAAATAAAGAAGAAAGCAGAGTTATGGGTCAGTGTTGAGTGTAAAATGGAATATTCCACTGGATTCCACATACTCTCAGTACTGTGTACTGCCTGTGTCCTGTTCTGTATTTATTGTAAGTTTTTCATATTTATTTATTGTACTGTATTGTCTACACTGTGTATATTGTATTGTTTTGTATTTGTCTTCCTGTGTTGCATCATGGTCCTGGAGGAATGTTGTTTCGTTTCACTTTGTACTTATATATAGCTGAAATGATAATAAGCCCTTGACTTGACTTGATTTTAAATGATGCACAAATTTACAAGACTTGCATGGATTTTTTTAATACAACAAAGAAAAAGCTGGATTGTATTCTCTGGATCTTCATGCTGTCTTTCTCTGTGTAGTGGGCGTTTCTATGAACAAACATCCAAACAGAGTCATATTTACTAGTTAACCATCTAGTATACAACCTTCCAATGAGCACCCGTTGTACCATCATGCTCCTGATTTTGTCAGATAAGGAGAGGACTGACAGGCTCAATAAACAACTAAACCAGGTATGCTGGGTAAAATTCATAGGACATGTCAGCAAGCTATAAGGGTTTTTTGGATCTGGATAGCTCTGGATTAGCAAATTTAGACCTGATGACTTGCTGACACTGAGAGTAAACTGTTGTTAGCGTTTTACATAATGCTACATTAATATGCAGATGAAAGACAAACAGATACAACCCAGAAATGTCATTTTATTATTGAGTCAACAAGAATTTACAAAAAATGTGGAACATACAATGACTACAACACTTAACTAGCATTACAATCTTGTGTTATCAAAGAGGTTTTGCCCCTGGCTGCACACACACTTACTAATGTCTGTAAACAGGAAACCTGACTAAAGAGCAAGCAGTGAAGCAGCCAACTTTGAAACCACAACCAAAATCAGGATTTCAGAAGTGCAAAGAGCACAGAGAGCAAGAGAGAAAGCTAAAAAGGGCAGACAACTGCTGATAAGTTTCTTTCAGTAAACAAGTGAGCCTAAAGCCAAAAGTGCCAAACAGTAAATATGTTGCAGTAAAGTAAGTTAGCTTGCTAACTAGCAATTAGCTAATAAGCAGTCATTCATAACAAGTACAAGTTGATAAAGAAGCAGTATTTGATTCAATGCAGCAAGTAAGCATTTTATTAAGAGTTACTGTAACACACAGTGTTTTGTGTTCTTACCTCAGTGAAGTTCACTACTTTTTTCTGGGGCCCAAATTTTGGTGCTATGCCCCTGATCTCAATACACGGGTTACCCAACATGTTAGGTAAAGAGCACAATCTCCTCCAAGTACACTGAGCTGTCCAGTGATACACTGTAAAAACCTCTGTAAAAAAACACTAAAAAGTCCAATAGTATAGCTGCCAAACAAAACCTGTTCATTAGTAATAAAGTATGTTTTCTCAATGATGGCAAAAATCTGTAAAATTCCAGTCATTTGATTTCTTACAAATGCTGCCTTTAACTGTAATTCAGTTTTTTCACTGACATATTCTGACATATTTTACCACAATAATAACAGTCACAGCCATTAAAATGAATGCAAATGTCTGTGGAATAAAGATGATTGTTTCTGGGAATTTACATCATGTTTCTGTAAATACTGTTACACATATGCATTTAACCTTTTTTTTCTTTTTTACTGTGTCAGTGAAAATACCATTATGTCATACTGAAGCAGCTGCATTAATTCCTAACTAATTTCAGTTGAGGAAAAAAAATGTGTGTAATTTAACATGACCCTGTTTTCACAGGTAGGACAATGGCATCATTCATGACTGAAATCATGCAAATCTTAAACGCATTGGCAGCAAATGAAGAATTAGGTAGTGGAGACAGACATTGCCAAGGCAGCGCGGTCGGCGCTGCTCTTGGGATGGCTCTTGGTGGCCCATGTGGATTAGCAGCAGGTATGCAACACAGTCTTTTGGCATTTGTTTGTTTGTGTACAAAATCAGTTGGTCTCATTAGAACCCTGAACTTAGCCGTGTCTCTAAATTGTTAGGTGTTGCTGCAGGAGCTGAGTTGGGAACTTGCCTGAGCAAGAGTTCTAAACGTCTAACCAATGTCCGCAAGGAGCAAACACCTGAAACAACCCTTTGTGCTGGGCTTTGGCAGTTGCTTAAGGAGCTGGTCTGCTGGGCTGTGGATGTCTTGATTGCGATGCTTTTGGGAGATACAAAGTTAAAGGACATGGTAGTGGATTTCATCAGATCTTTTTTTGATCGTTCACTGAAGATGTTGATCAAGAAAAAAGCATAAGAGTGTGAAGGATACAATAAAGAAATAGTGTGAATATCAAAGCAAATGCAGTCTGTCAGAAGATAATTCATTTCTATCTTGGGGCAAAAAGCAAATAAAGTGAAAAAAAGAAGAAATGAAATCTGTTACTAGTGGTTTTGGGTTACTTGTTTGAACTATTGTTCTTAATGTGCTCTCCAACAAATATGGTCATGAATAGACAAAATTTCAGATATCCTCCACTCATCATAGTAACACAGGAAAAAAAAACATCACAAATTGATATTTTTGTCACATGGCATTCTGTTTCTCTATTTTTTTTTACTTTAATTTTGGATTTTTTGAATTCTGATTTGTGAACAAACAAATAAACAATGTATAATACCTTTATTACACTGTGTAAACTTTACAGGACACAATAAGTACACTGCAGTTGACAAAGACACACATGTATAAAATTATGGAAAATGATTAATAAATTGAATTTGCCCTGATTAGCAGATATGGGTGTTTTTCTCTGTACAACTCTTACTGGATTTTGTTTTTCAGGTGTCGAGCACTGACGGACTTGCAGCGCTTAAAATTTACTAGAAAACATAAGTATATTTTGCACAGTTCTTCTTCCTTGTGACATTTGCTCCATGTCCTCTATCTTACTTTCATTCTTTCTCTTTGTCTCTCATTCTCTCTCTCATTCTGTACACAAATACCTACATTTACATCAGTTGGTATTTTTACTGTCTAAACACACTAACTAGATTAGAGGCAGGTACCACTCCTTGTATGTTTTGTTAGCTTAGCATGGGGTGGCAGATAGAGCTGTTTAGCTTGTAGCTTAGAGTAGCTGGTTTTGTTGATTTCTTTTTTTTGGTACTGTCTGTAGTCCCTCCTGGGTAGATTGCCCAGTCAGACAGTACAATCTTTTCTATAGTATCTTGTTCATAGCTTAACTTCTTTGCATGTTTGGTTCGTTGGTCTGTATAATAAAACTGTTAAAACTTTTTATTTGCATTTTAAGGATCTCTGAACCCCTTTATTGCGCTCTATCCTCTTGTTACTGTCCCTCCCTCCTCCTAGACCTGAGCCTATGGTTGGGACGTAACGTCTTCTGTGGCGACACTCCTTCCAGCGCTGGAGGGACAGAAATGTAGAAATACTTGGTTTGTAGTGTGTGGCCTGCATGCACCTCCCCTACACCAGTGTTCAGTCTCCAAATGCACTGTGTCTGGTGATACTACCAGAGCCAGTTTATGAAGACCTGGCCACTTCCTACCATACTGATAGGTTGTGGTCCTGAGCATAGATTTACATACATATATACATATGCGTTGGGTCCAGCCAGACACGTAAACCGCGCCGCCGTTTTAGGGCGGTCAACATCACTGCTGGACTGCGTTCAGTACCATTACAGAGTGACAGTTTAAGAAAGATACTGTCCAAAATTATTTTAAGAATATTGCTCTCAGAAAGTGGGATAGGATTATATAATGGAGGGCACACAGCAATCCACACTCACGCTTGTGTGATGCGTATTGTTTGTGTGATGTTTATGTGGTTGGTGAGGCACAGAGAACCTGTTGATGTGATTGTTTTTCCTCTGGTTTTATATTAAGCTTATTTAATTTAACAGTCTATTCAGGGGATCTTAACTTTATGTAGTAGATGGTTAACGCTTTGTAGCGGTAAGTTATGCCACTCCTTAATCCGTGTAGATATTGATAATAGATTAGCATTAACACCTTCTTACACAAAACGTTAGCTTCTTATTTTCCTGTTCTATGTTAAATGGTGCAGCTTCAAGCACCAGAAAGAGACTGCTGCACCATTTAAGGTGGAACAGGAAAACTCATGCATATCATTGCATTTTGTTTTTATTTACATTGCACAGCATCCCAACTTTTTTGGAAATGGGGCTGTATATGTTACTTTTTCCATCGACAAACAAAAGGACAAATTGATGCCCGAAATCGCACTGTAAGAGCCATGAGTACAGCGACACCCGACATGCTCAGTCAAGTACAGGATGAATTTGACTATGGCGTTGATGTCCGTACAGCTGGAGGAGGTTCATATTGAGCACCTGTAAAATTACATAATAAACTTTATGCTCAATTAAACCATTTACAGTTTCCTGCACTGTTATGTAATGACTTACAAGTGAAAAAAAGCATTTTGGTATCAGATTAATCTTTTTGCATCACCCTGCATTATAAAATGATGATACTAGTCCTTTAGACAGGGGAGATTTTGATATTATTTCCTCTAGAAAGGACATTGTTCGTAACTGTGCTTCTGAAAGCCTTGATAGGATGAGATGAAACCTCTCAGTTGTAAGTATTTAAAAAATGGTTTTTGAAATGCCGAACTTGGTTGAAATTTCTGAGAAAGACACTAGCACATTTTCTTTGCATAGATCTTTCTTTGTACAGATCTTTTTGCACCCTTTTTCATTCCAAATTTTAAATCCTAAATGTAACCTGGCAGGTTTAAATTTCCACAAATTAGTGTGGAGCCAGATATAGTGATTGTTTTGTCTAGGTATTTATGTACGTCACTTCATACATGATCATATTTATTATGAAGGGGTTGTGAAAAAATAAATGTTTGTGTTTCTTAAAGAGTTTAAATGTCCATTGAATCGAGGTATAAATTGAAAGATAGTTTTGGCCTAATAGAAAGACATTCGATTTCCAGTGAAGTGGACATAAATTCAGGAGAGTAGTAATATATAGTTGCTGGTAATTGTGCTGCCCAGTAGTACTACTGCACATTGGGAAAGCGGAGCCCACTCATGTTGTATGGTAAGTAAAGTAACAATAAGCAGACACTGGCTCCTTTATTATTCCAAATAAAATGTTTGAGGAGCTTTCTAAGGGTTATAAAGAAAGAATGTGGAGGGCGGAGTGGAATATTTTGAAATAAGTATAGAATTTTAAGCAGTACGTTCATTTTAAATTTACGTATACGGGCTATTAGTGAGAGCGGTAAGTTTGTGCATCTTTCAATGGATTTAGAAATAAAGTCTAGAAGAGGTTGACAGTTGACTCTGAAATATCATCAATGCCTGTTTTGATTTTAATTTGTGAAAGTGAAAGTATCTGTAGTATTAAAATCTGATGGAACCCATGATGTGTTTCATCTTTCATAATTATTTAATAGCAGGATGGATGACTTAGATTGATTTATTTTGTAACTTGAAAATTTCTTAAAGAGTGTCAGAAGTTGTAGTAAAGATGGAATAGAGTTCGACAGGTAAAATATGATATCATCTGCATAAAGGGATGTTCAGTAGTCTGATCTGCCCAATATGCCCAGTATATTGGTATGCAATCTTACTGCTGTGGCTAATGGTTTGAGAATCAAAATGAATAAAATGGATGACAGCGAACAATGTCTTTGAATGTTAATGCTTATAGAAACCATGCTTATAGTCAATATTTTAGCAAATGGAAGAATATAAAGAATCTTTAACCATTTACAAAAAGCTTCACCAAATCCAAATCTTCTGAACTTCGAAAAGATTTGGCCACTCCACCCTGTCAGAAGCCTTTTCAGCATCTAAAGACAGAATGGCAGTGTCTAAAACCCCTTAAGATGTACTATGTTAAGCACTGTTCTGACATTGTGGAAACATTGACGGCCGCACATAAAACTGTTCTGTTCCTGTCCCACTAAATCTGGTAGAAGGTTCTTCAACCTCCTTGCCAATATTTTGCTTAAGATTTAAATTTTCTGTGTAAAGCAGTTGGGTGGTATATTGGTGGCTCTGGAGGTTTTTTCAGCTGTGTGTATGTTTACATATAAAATCACTGAAACCCTGAACTTCATTTTAAACTCTGAGCTCTGAACTCTGTGTGTAAATTGTTAGGTGCTGTTGCTGGAGGTCTGATTGCGGGGGAGCAACTAAGCTGAGCAGCTAACCGACATCTGCAAACTGCAACTAACCGACATCTGCAGACTAACACCTGAAACCTAAGAGATTCTCTCTGCTGCATTTCAGAAGCTGATTCAGGAGGCGGTCTGGCTTGTGCTAATTATTTGATTGATAACATTTTTTTCAAAAGAACGAAAAGATAAATTTATCATTTCTTTTTGAGAAATTACTGAAAATAATGGTCAAGCAAAAGCAGGAGAACGTAAAGGAATAGGCTAAGTACTGAAACAAATGCATAAATGAATAAATCCATAATGAGTGTTTTATTTAAGCAGTAGAACACAGAGGGAGTGTGTTATCGCGAAATAACATCACGGCTGTGATTTGGTCACCATAGATCATCACAGCTGTGATGTTATACCGATAACACACTCCCTCTTGTATTCTATTGATTTTATACACGAGTTAAATAAATAAAGTAATAAATTAATTATGGCTCAGTCTGATTTGGTCTGAAGATCAGACTACACGTTTGTTGAATGGTATTGGGTTCATTTCTGGCTGATTCCAGGTTGTTTAGCTGTTCTTCTGTCACAGCTGCCGACTGAAAAGCTGCTCAGTGGTGATGACAGTTTGGGAGTTTAGTGTCGTCTCATCTTCAGAGTCTGACCAAATCGGCTGTCGGTCAAATGTGATCTTAAAAGTGTCCATTTTCTGTTTGTGGCAAAGTAAGAAGTAAAAACGTTCAAATGGCTCGAGCGTCTCCTACAGCTGTCAAATTGTTGCTTAGCAACAGTGTTTTAGCGGAGTGATACAGTGTGAAAAAACCATGATATTATGGTGAAATAACAGCACAGATCTCACATCTCTCAACCTATCAGCTTGTGTGGCCAAACTGTTGTATAAAAAGTGACATATGGCCTTTGTTTTTGATGTGCTCTCTAACAAATATGCTATAGACTTTTATTGGTCTGTGATTTGTAGTTGTAATCAAGTTGAGAAATCTACTTTACTTCAGCCTGGGCATGATTTCATTTGGTTAAGTCAAAGAATCTATTAATGTACCTTTTAAACTGTCGCAGTAATGATCATAATGATAAGAAGAAGAAACTTCAGCAGTAATAATGTGCTGTATTAGTAATATAGTAAATTAGACATAGTTAACAGCCAATTACTGTAATTCACAGTGTAAATTTACAATGTGCCCACTGTAATGCTTATTTATGAACTGTTGTACTGTATTTTTGGTGCTAACATGCTTTAAAAATCCCATAGAGACTGAATCCCATAACTGGCTGGAAATTAGCATTATTGTAGCAGTGCTAATCACATACTCACATGATGCTTAAATGATGCCTACAAAGTTTCTACATTAAAATATGCTATATAATAACATATATGACAAAACATACAAAATCCATTAACTCAGTTGAATATCCCATATTTTATTTTATGTTATTACAGTCTGTGCTAAGTAAGATAGTATGCTATGAGATATGCTAGCTATATAATTAGCTAGGAGTGCCTAAAATAGTTGTAAAATATTCTTACACTGCCTCTAACTGCCGTTTTGAAATCTTTGTGGCACAAAATTCCACTTAAACACTCCA